CACTGAGCCAAACCGGTTTCGGCTAGCCTGCATGGTTTCTGTTGAGAAATCAGCTGACAATTGTATGGGTGCTCCTTTATAGGTAACTGCCCTCTTTGCTCTTGCTGCTTTTAATATTTTCTCTGTCTTTTGCTCTTGGAATTTTAATTATGATTTGTCTTGGTGTGGTCCTCTTTGGATTCCTTTTGTCCTGGACTTGTAAGTCTAATTCTTTCACTAGGTGGGGGAAGTTTTCTGTCGCTATTTCTTTCAGTATGTTTTCGATATCTTGCTCTCTCTCATCTTCTGGGACCCCCATAATTCTGATGTTGGTTCGCTTGAAGTTGTCCCAGAGGTTTCTTACATTATCTTCAATTTTCTGGATTCTCTTGCCTTCTAGCTTCTGCGGAGGAGTGTCTTCTGGCTCTTTATGTTCCAAATCTTTGACTTGACTCTTGCGATCTTCCATTCTGTTTTTAGGACTCTTTATAATATTTTTTATTTCAGACAATGTACTTTATTTCTTGTTGATCCCTTAACATTTCTTGTTGGTTCCTTATTAATTCTGGTTGATCTCTTTTCATATCCTCATAGGTCTTATCGATCTTTTCTAGGAAATTCTTGAAAAACCTTATAAGCGTAGATTTGAACTCTATATCCAGTCGCTTTTGTCCTCCATTTCTTTCGTTTGTGATCTATTTTGTTGTCGCATTTCGCAGCTACAGATGGGGCGAGCTTCAGGGTGGAGCCTGCAGCCTTGGCTTCTGTCAGCCCCGCCCTATACGGCTCCTGGGTCTCAGGGTCCTTCAGTGCTCGCTGCAAGCGCCTCTGAGAGAAAGGCGCCCTCGATTTTCGCCTGCTGCCAACAGTCTATGCTCTCCCCCAATGAGCCCGGTATTGGGGTTCAGTTCAGCTGGAAGTGGAGTTGGAGGTGGCGTTCAGAGCAGTCTGGAGCCCATGTCTCCTTCCCGCCAGGCAATCCCGCAGCACAGCCAACCGTCCCTTCTCTGAGCGCACTGTGCGCGCTGCCGGGACCTCCTTTCGCCGCTTCCCCGGGGTTCCGCCTTTCAGCCCAGCTCCCTCTGTGTGAGCCTGGGTCCCCGGGGTCTGGCCTAGAACTGGGGTTCAGAGCAGTCAGAACTGGGGCCCAGCACAGTCGGAGTTTTATCTCCTTCCCGCTAGGGAACGCCCGCTAGGGAACTCCCTCCTCTCTGGCTCCGTCCTCTCCGCGCGCGCTGCGCATCTCCGTACCTTGAACTTTTCCAGCTCCTCCGCGCTTCCTTCTGGTTTTCTCCTTGCTTCTCGTTGTAGAATTTCCAGTCAGTCGACTTTCCTGTAGTTCTGGGTAATGTCCATTTTATATTTTAGTTGTATTTTATTGAAATTGTTGTGTGCAGCTGCGGCTAGGTGTTTATCTGGGCAGCCATCTTGGATTCTCCCTGGACCCTGGTCTTATTCAAGTAGTATTTGTTTGTTTGTTTTTATATATTTTAATTTTTTTACAGAGAGGAAGGCGGGGAGAGAGAGAGCTAGAAACATTGATGAGAGAGAAACATCAACCAGCTGCCTCCTGCACACCCCCTACTGGAAATGTGCCCGCAACCAGTGTACATGCCCTTGACTGGAATCGAACCCAGGACCTTTCAGTCCGCAGACCGACGCTCTACCACTGAGCCAAACCGGCGTCGGGGTCAGTAGTATTTGTTTTGAGGATGACTTAGTGAAGTCCCACCGCATTCTCAGTTCCTGTGTCACCCCGTCAGAGGCTGTTAAGCGCACTCGGTGAGCATATTTCCCACTGAGAGCTGGAGGCCAGCAGCAGCCGCCTAGACGCTCTCGCACCTGGCCAGTCCCCAACCAGGGCAGGTTCGAATGTGTGCAGGTGAGTCACAAGCACAGGGGGAGGAAGGTGTAGGGGCAGGAGCAGGGCGTAGGTGAAAGGGTGGGGAGTGGCAGCTAGCAGGAGCCCCACTGGCTTTGGAACTCTGACTATCCCTGGCCTGGGTACTACCACAAGCCTGGGGCCTGTCACCATCCCCAGCACCTGCCACAAAGCCGGTGTCCGTGGCTGTTGAAATGAGCTGCAGAGCCACCAAGAGCAGGGTGCTGAGGGCAAGGCTTGAGAAAGGTAACCCAGACCTGATGGCTTTGACCTGCTATATAACGGCGAAGATGATGCTTCTGTGGTGAGCAGGGGTGGGAAGGACAAAGGCCAAGAGTAGGGGTGACTGGGGTCATGAATAGTCCGGCTCATCTGGGATGGTTTAGGGACAGGAGGCTGCACGTACTGGGGGCTGATTATAAGGGGCCTTGAATGCCGAGTCAAGAAATCAAACTTGACCTTGATACTGAAGGGTCTTGGTCAAGGGATGTGGTCACCATGGCAATGCTTTGAAAGCCCCTTCTGCTATTCCATTATGGGGAGTGGACTGTTAAGAGAGGAGTGGGGACAAGAAGCCCATTGACGAGGTGGGCATAGTCTTCCAGGCCAGGTGTGCCTGGCCAGTGGGCTGGGGGACATTTCACCAATGTTTGAATGCCCCAGGGCCTTGCTGGGTACAGGGGCATGGCCAAGAGCCTGGAGATGGCGGCCAAGGCTTGGGGGTAGGAAATGGCAAGATGGGGATGGGGGCTTGCGAAAGTAAAGCAGTCCAACGCCCCTCACCCCTCACCCAGAAACTCCCGTCTGGCACCCTCCGGGCTCACTCCCTCTGGCCTGGCCCCCCTGGCTCGCCTCCAGTCCTCTACCCTCCAGGATCCACTTTCTGCTCCCTTTGCAGCGTCCCCACTGCCTATCTGCCCCATCATCTGTCTGGAGACCCCTACTGGTCTCACCGTCTCCAGAGGCCTCCCTCCAGCACCTCCAAGCCTCCAGCCAGGGAGGGACAGCAGAGCCCGTGTTTTTTGTTGTTTGTTTTTAAAGTATTAACTTTTACAACTCCACTGCAGAGGCAGGCAGGCAAGGGAGCAAAATGTAAGGAGGCCCTTGAGAGGTGTCAGCTTGAGGACTTCAGTTTCTTTGTTCTGAGACGGCAGTGGGAAGTTTTTTTCGTTTTGTTTTGAGGATTCGCTGTTGCTGTCTTTGTGGGGGAAGCGGAAAAATTAGAACACAGAACGGAAAGCACAATTATTTGCCCTAAGTGGGCTTCTTCTCTAACAAGGACACTGAAACCTCCGCAAGCCCACCCAGAGCGGTGGGCGCAGGTGCTGGCAGGGTTCCTGGGAACGGCCAGGAGTCTGGGCAGGGGCGGCCGGAGGGCAGCTGGGCACAGTGCCGGCCAAGGAGTCACTGGGGGAAACCTCAGGGAAGACCCTCCCTGGAGTCCCAGTCCAGGCCACCTACCCTGAGCTGCCACCATCTGAGCTGTGCTCCTGGCCATACCCCTGTACCCAGCAGTGACCTGGCACCACCGGGGCATTCAAAACATTGGGGAAATGTCGCTCGGCCCACTGGCTAGTCACACCTGGCTGAAGGGCTGCCACGGCTTCCTAGGATGAGGCACTTTCCAAGCCCGGCCACCTGCCGCCTTGGTGTCAGCCCACTCTTCCCTCCCAGCTGTAGCCCACAGCCGGCTTCTCTCCGTTCAGGGAGGCAAGTTCTCCTTCCCCTCAAAGCCTGAAAAACTCCTCAGCCAACACCCAGACAAGGTCGGAGGCCATCTTGTTCTTGTGGTGCCACATACCTCCCTTTAGAGCCCTCGTCAGTGCCAGTCATCACCCCCCATGCCCGTACCCTCCCCCCCTTCCCCGGGTTCCTCCAGAAGCTGGACAGACCAACTCGGCCTTCACTTCCCTGGAGCTGCTCTGTGGCCGGGTGGCCGGGTGGCCGGGTGGCCTGGAAGGGGGTGAGGAGAGGTGGGGGGAAGGGGAGGTTTCACAGACCCCAACTATGCTCTCCAGGACCCTGAGGAGGCTCTGTGCTCAGTCCCCCAGTCCACTGCACACCCTTTTGGCAAAGTGGGGGAGGGGGGTGAAGCTAGAGCCCCCGTGTCAGGGGGCGGGTGGGTGGTGGAAAGCACAGATCACACTCACTCCCAGAGCCAGGGCTTGTGAGGGCCCTGGACTGAGGAGACCTGGTCAGCAGCGATGAAGCTGCCACCACCTGAGGCAGGGGGGCTTGAGATGGGAACGGGCTGGTTTCTGAAGGAAGGCTTCCTGCCCTGAGCCTACGGTCAGAGAAGCAAACCAGCCCCACAGTCCAGCTTCCTGGCTGCGGGAGACAGGAGGCGACACCAGAAGCGACCACGGCCTTTATTGTCTCTCTGCTGGGGTTCGGGTTCAGAGACATCTGGGGATAACAGGTGACTGCAGCCCCAAATTATTGCTACTGGGCAAGGTCACCTTAGGGCTTCCCATAGTGTCCTGAGTATGGTTGGGCATGGACATGCAAATTATGTGCAATGACATGCAAACCAACCCAGGACCTTCCAGATGTCAGCTGGTGCAGTGGAGGGTGCTGAAGAGTCAGAAGCTCGCAGCCCAGGAGGGTGGTGGGGACATCCAGGTCCTTACCCCACAATGTAGACAGACCCAGCTCAGCCTCAGGGGTCAAGGTTTGGGGTGGAGATGGGGGTCCCTGAGCATCAGCCCTGGTTCTGTTGCTGGTTGAAGAAGAGCAGAACTTGGCCCCAAGATAGCGGGAAGGAAGCAGGCACCCGCAGGGCAGCCAGACAGCCCAAGGCTCAGGCAGAAAGGGAAGGAGGGGATCTGCCCTGGTCACACACAAGGCAGAGGCAGAGAGGACCGGAACCCAGGCCTTCGGAGTCAGAGGCCAGAGTGCCTCAGAGACCAAAGCTATAATACAAACAATAAAACACACTGATAAAGAGACAGGAAGCAAGCAGACCCGTCCCTGATCCCTGGGCTGAGGACTCTGCACCAGCGGGCTTTGGAGGCCCCTCAGAGCCAGACTCCAGGTCTGGGAGCGCAGCATCCGTTGGTCTCGATGCTGAATGGACCGTCCGGAAGCTCCAGGAGGAGGCAGGCAGGGCCACAGGGTCCTCGACTAATGCAGGCCAGGATCAGTTATTGTTCATAATCCACCAGGAGGCTGGGGGTCAGAGGTGGGGGGTCAGAGGCCATGAGGGGTACAGTGCCCCTCCCTAGGCCCCAAGGCTACGGAGAGGGTCAGGGCTCCCGCACACCTGGGAAGAACACAGTGGAGAGGGTGTCCGGAGCCCGCAGGTGGTCAGTGAGGATGCGCTGGAAGGCCTCACTGCAGGCGGACTGCTGGTGCCTGGGAGGGCCATGGGTGGACTTGATCTTCCCCAAAGATCAACCCCACCCCAGGCCTGCTGCCTGGATTCAGATCCCAGTCCTTCCTCACACTCTCTCTCTGAACCTTAGCGTTCTCCTCTGTGAAATGGGACAAGAGTGTCTACTGTGCTAGCTACTGTGGGGATTACGTGAAGGAACACACAAGTGCTTCCACAGGATGTGACACAACGGTGACGGTGTGTATTCACGGAGCATCTTCTGTGCACATGGCCGTGTTCCGTTCTTTACACGTCACCTCACTCAGCTCCAGTGAAGATGGAACCGTTCTCACTCCCATTTTGGAAAGGAGGCCACAGGGTACAGAGGGACTGAGTGGTTCTTCTAGGTCCCACGGCCAGCGAATAGAGGAGGATCTGAACCCTGCCCCACGCCAGGGCCCACGCTCCCTCCACACCAGTTGTTGGACCGCCATTCGTACCTCCTCCAGGAGGCCTCGTCCCGCCAGAACTCGTACAGCGTGAAGGAGGCGTTGTCTAGCATCTTCTGAGCAGACACACTGTGGAGCCAAAGAGATGGCCGGGCCGGGCCTGGGCTGCCACCCCTGCCGCGCACCCAGGCTGGGGTATTGAATGGGCACTTTGCCCCAAAATGCTCAGCCCCCGTGTTCCCCCCTGCTCCTGCCCCAACCTTGGCCGGCCCCCCGGAGGCGGGAACTCACTGCAGGCAGTGGCTCTGGGCCCCTGTGAAGTCCACGTAGCAGTGCAGAGCCCGGGAGAAGTCCTGCAGAGATTCTTCCGCCACCTGGACCTGCCTCTGGGACACGAGGATGCGCTGGCGAGAGAGGTGGCCCAGTCAGCTCGAGCAGAGCAGGCCACCAGCGACAGGCTGGCTGTAGCCGCCAGGAGGACCCGCCCTGCCCGACTTGCATCAGACCTGGCCGACCCTGAGGTTGGGCTCCTGCCCCAACCTGGCCCCAACCTCCCTGGCTCCATCCTCCTCTCCCCAGCCCCAAGGATGCCGCCCTGAGCCAGTCATTGTCTCCCCTGCAGCACGCCTCCACTTCCCCCTGACCCCTCCAGCCTCCGTCCACACTGCCCGACTCAGAAATGCAGATAAGGGAAACTGAGGCCCACAGAGGGGCAGTGATTTCTGTGGAGTCACAGAGCAGGGACCAGAACCCAGCACCTGCCTGCCTGCTAGGCCTGGGGGATGAGGGCTGGGCCAAAACTGGGAAATCGGAGATGCGTGCAGGGCAGAGGCCGGGTGGGAAGCTGGCCCTGTGAGCGCCCTGACTTCATGACACCCAGGCCCTGAGACCCGCTGCCCACCCCTTCCCCAGACTCACCGAGCTGGGTCCCTTGGTAAGATCCTCTTCATGCAGGGGCTCCAGGAGGGGGGCCTGCGAGGGACACGGGGTGTGGGTCAGGCGCCCCGCAGGCGCCTGTCTTGGGCAGATTCCAGGAAAGTCCACGCCTGGGGCGCCGGTCACTCCCGGTCACTCCGCTGCTCACCTTGCACTCGAGCTGGTCGATGAGCTCCTGCAGACGGTTCACCTGGAGCCGCCACTGCCTCTCGGCCTCCGAGCTCTGCCCTGGGGTGGGGCCCACGGGGGAATTCAGGCGGGGAGGTCCCTCAGGAGGAACTGGGGGGCAGCGGAGGAGCAGGCACTGGGGGCGCTGCTCTGGGCCCCCTCAGCCAGCCCCCCCACAGCACACCTGTGTCAGAGGAGCCAGGAGACCAGGTGGGCGACCGGCTGACGCTCCGCAAGGCCCTGAGCCCCGCCCGCCGGCCGCCACGGGGCTTGCTCTGCACCTCCACTCGCTCTTCGTCTGACCTGAGGGAGGTGGAGGCTCAGTGCACGGCCAGCAGACCCTCAGGGCCAAGGATCGGGACCCCCAAAAGGACCAGGCTTGGGTGGGGCGAGAAAGGCATCCGGGGATATGGAGGCCCTAGCTTCAAAGCCAGCCGGCCTCTCACACCTTTATGGCCCCCTGCCCCAGAGCAAGCGTCTGCAGAAACTACCCGATGCAGGAAAGCGGAGGGACTGAAATGAGATGGCTCTTCGTGAACTGGGCCCACAGCGGGCCCAGGGCTCCTCACATACCGTGGCCCGCGGGTCTGGGCCTGGGCCTCCAGGGTGTCTGACGCCCCCTCCAGCGAGCTCTGCAGGGCTTGGAGCTGGCTCACGGTCTCTCGCAGGAGGAAGCGAGTCACAAACTGGTCCACCTTGGAGGCCCGCTCATACTCCTGGGGGCAGAGGGGAGAGTCAGCACCTCTGGGCTCCAAGTCTCTTTCTGAAGGAGGAGCCATCCCCTGCTGCTCCCCCCTCCCCATCAGAGCCGCAGGGCATCGTGAAGAGGCCTGCAGACCCGGCATAGCAGGAGGGCACAGGGCCTGGCCTCCCTCCAGGGAAGTATGAGGCCAACTTGTAAGGAGTTATCTGCCGCTCTCTGGGCCCAGGGCCCCTTCTATAATGGAGCTACCACCTTCAGCCAGGGAGGCCCCTGCACAGTTAGGCTGGGGTGGGGGTTGCAGATAGGGCAGGTCATAGGATATCCCAAGACCTATTTTGACACGAGGCAAAATGACGGTGTGATATAGCCCCATACTCACCAGTTGGCCACAAAGCCACAGGCTATATACACTGAGTGGCCAGATTATTATGATCCCTGAACACATAATCTGGCCACTCAGTGTGTGTGTGTATATAAACCCACATATACACACACACACACACTCTGAGTGGACAGATTATTATTACATATTGGGGGGGAGGGGGCTGGTGCATGAATTCGTGCATGGGTGGGGTCTGGCCAGGGGGTGGGGTCATGGGCAGTTGGCCAGCCTGCCTGCTGGTCGAACTCCTGGTCGAGGGGACGATGTGCATATTAGCCTTTCATTATATAGGATATACACTGAGCGACCAGATTATTATGCATTCAGAGATCATAATTATCTGGCCACTCAGTGCGTGCACCCATTCATTCATTCACTCATCCATGTAACAGACATTTACTGAGAACCTTTTACTAGGAGCTGCAGACACAAGACAGCCAAGTTACTGTCTGTCATCACACTCACATCCCAGCACTGAGCCCAACCTACACAACCAGCCTCCCTTTGCCTCCCAAAAAGGGCAGAGAGAGCAGACCATGTGCCGGCCGCCAGGAGCCACGGCCCCGGTGCTGCTCTCCCTCTTTGAGGGGCCCGGAGGCACCACCCACCAGGGGCTTTGCCGGCAGGTGGACCCTGCTGGGACAGGCTTCTGCGGAGAGGCGAGGACAGGGGGGAGGATGGGTCCTCCCATTCTCAAACAGGCCAGTGGTTTCTGATCTCTCTCTAGACTTCTGTCCTACCCCAGACTTCTGGCCATGCTCTGAGCTCTCTAAAATCCTTCCAATAAATTCCATCTGGGGCACTTAAAATGACTGGTCAGCTTCTGTTGCTTGCAACCAAAGAACCCAGCTGACACAAACATCTATTCTGTGCCAGGCCCTGTTCCAAGCAGAATTTCACTTAATCCTCATAACGATTACAGAGACCATGATGGACCCCATTTGCAGATAAGAACACTGAGGTCTAGAACAGCTGATTACCTTGGCCAAGATCACATAGCTAGTTAGAAACAGAGCCAGAATTCAAACTTAGGCCGCAGAAATTCCTATTCTCATCACTAAGCACCTTCATTACTGGACCCAGGCCGATAATGAAACATTGCCTCATTTATGATCATTAGCCCTTTTGCGGGCCGGAAATCACAGACAGAGTGAATGGAGCCAAGATTGGCCTGTGGGTTCTGTGAGATGCCCAGAGCCTGGAGCTGGTGAGGTCGACCCATGAGGTCACAAAGTGGCCTCGGGGACAATGCTGGGGCAGGGGTCCCTGGCCAGAGGGCAGGGCGGAGCAGCATGGGCCGAGGACCCAGCACGAACCAGTCCTGCCATGGGAAACAACGGTTCCCACGAAAGGACCAAGGTGCCCAAGCAGGTTGGCAAGAAGAGGCCACCTGATACGGACAAGGCCCCGGGCAGACAGCCGTTCTTCAGCTGCTTCCGGCAGAAGTCGGGCGTAAGTGGCGGGTGGGAGGGGCAGGGGACACGGCCAGGCGGGCGGGCGGGGATGCTGGGAGTGCAGGCCTTGTGTTCCGAAGTCCCAGGGCCATGGACTAGGAGGTTGGAGAATCCCTCCTGGGGAGGAGGGTCCCAGAAACGCACTGGGTATGGATGGGGTCCTAAATGCCCAGCAGAGACGGATGGGACTTGGGAGTCGGAAGGGTGAGCAGAAGGGGATTTTACCACCTGGATGGATCCGTGGGTGGAGGTCCCAGCATGATTGGCATCTCTGGGATATGAGCCCCAAGGGTTTCCTTATGCCCCTTTCCAGCCCCTCGCCTCAAAACAGGCTACTGTTCCCCTCCAGTGGGCAGACAGGGATCCCAGAACGGTGGTCTCGGGTCAGCCTGGGGGGCGGGATCCCTGCTGACGGAGCAGAGTGGGGCTCCCTCTCCCGGGCATGGAAGGATGGCGGGGTCCCGGAAACAGAGAGGGCATGGCCTCGGCAGACAGGACCAGGGCGGCGGCACACTCTCCCTCACCCGCTGCCCCACCCGCAGACCAAGATCCTGCTGCTCTTCTCGGCGGCCGAGCGGCCGCAGCTCGCTGAGGCGGCGGTGGGCCCGGTCGCGGGGCCCGGTCGGCCGAGCGAGGAGCCGGGGGGCTCCCTGGCGGCGCCCCCCAGGATGCGCGGAGCGGGCGACGGCACCGAGTGGCGCACGGCTGCAGGCGGCGGGGCTCCCCGCAGCGGGCGGGACCGGGGCCAGGGCCGCACGGGGCCGCCGGTGCCCACCCGCGCCTGGTGATCCACAGCGTCCCCCCCCCCCGCCGGGGGCATCCGTGCCCGCGGCCCCGGCACCTGGTCTGGCACCTTGACCCCTCCAGCCCCGACCCAATAAAGAGCGCATAGCGACCCCGCTCCCGCTGGCTCTGTCAGGGCTCTGGCGCCAGAGCGAGACGGAGGGGGGAAGGGCGGGGTGGGGTGGTGGCCAGCGGTCCGGAGCCAACTGTTTTTCCTTCCTTGTGACCCAAAAGTTGGAGCCCCTGCACCCCTGCCCTGGGGAGGGGACATCCTGCCACAGTGGAGAAGGGAGATGTTCCAGGCCCGGGTCTGCAGGCCCAAGGGAGGTGAGCTTGAGCACACCCAGGCTTGGCCAACCTTGGGAAGGGCTTGCTTCCCCTGGGCATGGCACCTCCCAGTCCCCAGCATTCAGTCCTCCTCTGGCAGCACCCGGTCCCAGCCAAACAGCCAGCACCAGGAGAGCTGTGAGGGGCCTGGGACTCACATTCTGCCTCCCAGAGGACCCTGGGGCTGGGGGATGGGGGGGAGGGGTTGGGGGGGGTGGCGGCTCTTGACCCTCCGTTGCTATCCCTGCCTGGTAACCCGCCGGGAACTTAGTCACCTGTCTCCCAACCTACCCGGTTCCATCCTCTCCCCACACGGCAGCCAAAGGCTCCTTCCAAACCACCCAACTACCTGCTGGGCAGCTCACTTTGCTCATAAGCTCACACTGGCTCCCCACTGCCCACAGGAAACACCCAGACCTGCTACTGGGATTCGCAAGCCCAACCCCCAACCTCTCTTCCTCTCTGGGGCTTCTGGGTGACTCCCACCCTCACCTGCTCTGGCTACGTTGCCACGTGTGGTCTCCAATGTGAGGCTCACCACCCTGAGCCCCCACGAGGGGTCCAGCTGCCGCTCTTCACTGTCCTGGTCCCCAACCTGGTCCGAACCAAGAGCCTCCCCGCCGGCAGCCAACCTCAGGACGGCGCTGGGGGCAGAAGCAGCAGGGGCAGGCCCAGCTCCTGCAGCCACAGGCCCAGCTCCTGCTGGAGATGTTACTGTCAGGAGCTCCTCCACGTTGCCTACCTCGTGCTGGCGGCTCCATGACCCATAGCTTCGCCCCTGCGGTTTGTAAGAACTGACCCTCCCCTGCCACTCCCGTAATTACAATCTGCGTAACCGAGTTCCTCAATGTGACCACACCTCCTGGCCCTAAGCCCCGGGTCCCATCAGCCCCTTCCCTGGGACAGTCACTCAGGGGCCATAAGAGACTGTTTTCTACGGGAACACGCACGGGCTGGAGCCAATCTACAGAATAAAAACAACACACAGACAGTGCACATCCTGGGTTCCTGCAGTCAGGCCCTGCTTCCAGGCTGCTCTGAAGCCTGCTCTCACCCTTTGCCTTTGGTCTCCATCACACATACAAGATCCTTGTAATAAAACCTAAAATGCTTCCACTCTCGTGAGTGGGTCTTCAGCTTGCAACCAAAGTGGTCCTTGAGAGAATGGGGCTCTGCAGAGACCAGACGCGGCCTGTTTCCTGTGTGTGAAGGTTTCTGCCTTTTGGAGGGAGACTCTGAGCTCAGTAAGATGAGGACCTGCTTGCCGAGTGAGTCAGCCTCAGAGCTGAGCCACAAACTCAGGCCCACAGCGTCCACAGGCGGAGGTCCCTGAGGGTCGAGTCCCCTGGGGGCTGTCCAGGCCCCTCGAGGATGAGCACACAGACCCTCCAGAGCGGCTGTAGGTCTGGGACTAAGGACTTTCTCTCCAGCATCGGAGGGGGCCGAGTAGATCTGATCGTCGGAAGTGGTTTGGGGAAGGAACCACTGGTTGTGCTGGGCAGTTGCAGCCAGACTCCTGGATGCCCAATGCACTGCCCTTGACCCTGCCCCGGGAGGGAGGAGGGTCGGGGGGGGGGGGGGGCCTGCGGAAGCCCAGCAGGTGCTGAGGACTGAGGTCACAATTAGTCGGATCCAAGTTCTCTTCCTTCTCTGGTGACCTACACGGTTCCGTCTCCACAACCAGGAACTACTTCCCTCAGGCCCGGTGAGCGGTCCTGGACACGGCCTGGGCCGGACTTCGGGTTCCCAGGGAGCCCGGAGCTGGAAAGGGACATCCACTCTGGGCAGAAAGGGCGGAGCCAGACACTGGGAGAGTCTTCCCAGTCCGGGAAGGTAGGGCTTTAGTCCCAGGGCTCAGAGTCAAGAGCTGAAAGGCCGGCCTCCACCTGGGCCAGCGGGGACAGAACCGCCTCTGGGAGCGCGGCTGAGCCCGCAGATGGCGAAGGTGGCCGCGGTGCCCGTGTCGGGGAGGCGCCGGGCCCGGCCGCCCCCCCTGGGCCGCGTCGCCGTGGTGGTGGACCAGGGCTCGGGTTTCACCAAGGCGGGCTTTGCGGGAGAGAACCAGCCGCGCCTGGTGCTGAAGAGCTCCGGCTTCGTGTCCAGCTGGGACCAGCCCCTGCTGCCCGGGGCGCCGGGCTGTGAGCTGGGGGGCGTGGAGCGGGCGCACCCCATCAAGCACGGCACGGTGGTGGACTGGGAGGCGCTGGAGGGGCTGTGGGAGCGCCTGCTGGTGTGCGGGCTGCGGGTGCGGCCGGACCAGTGGCCGGTGCTGGTGAGCGACTCGCCCTCGGCGCCGCCCTCCAGCCGGGAGCGGGCGGCGGAGCTGCTGTTCGAGGCCCTGGCGGTGCCCGCCTGCCACATGGCCAGCACGGCGGCGCTGGCCGTCTGCTCCACCGGCGCCCTCAGCGGGCTGGCCGTGGAGGCGGGCGCGGGGGTGTGCCACGCCACCCCCATCTACGCGGGCCACTCGTGGCACGAGGCCACCTTCCGGCTGGAGGTGGCGGGCAGCGCGCTCTCCCGCCACCTGCGGGACCTGCTGCTGGCGGCGCGCCCCGACCTGCTGCTGCAGAGCCTGCCGCGCAAGGCCGTCACGCGGCTCAAGAAGCGCTGCTGCTACGTCTCCCTGGACTTCGAGGGCGACCTCCGCGACCCCGCCCGCCAGCGCCCGGTCCGGTTCCGCCTGGACAGCGGGTGCTCCGTCTGCCTCGGCAGCGAGCGCTTCCGCTGCCCGGAGCCCATCTTCCAGCCGGCTCTGCTGGGCCACCGGGGGCCCGGGCTGTCCACCCTGGCCTTCTGGGCTCTGCAGAAGGTGCCCGAGACGCTGCGGAGGAGGCTGGCCGACACGGTGGTGCCGGCCGGCGGCTCCACGCTCTTCCCCGGCTTCACCGAGCGCCTGGAGCGGGAGCTGCTCGCGCAGTGCCAGCAGCACGGCCCCGGGGCGCTGCGGCCGCGCCTGGTGGTCCAGCCCGGGCGGGGAACGGCCGTGTGGACGGGCGGCTCCATGATGGCTTCGCTGCACAACTTCCAGCGCCAGTGGATGACCCGGGCCATGTACCACGAGTGTGGCTCCAGGCTGGTGCACCAAGTCTTCAACTGAGGCAGCGCGGCCCGGGAGGGGTGTGCGGCCAGCGGGCCGCAGGGGCAGAGGCGTGGCGGGCTAAGCGGACGCTCTGTCGGCGGCACCGGGTGCCGGATAAAGGTGTCCGGTGGCGGGAGCTCCAGAGTCAGTCGTCGTGTGGTGATGGGTCGCCTCCGCTCCGTGTCCGGGCCAGGAGGGGGTGGTCCGGGGCCCTCGCTGTCACCTGCGGTTTGAATTCCCCTAACGACTCGGGCTGCCCACGCCCAGGGCCCTGTCCCCATGGCGATAAGGAAGCTGATGCCCACACACGCGCACAGGCCACAGATACAGAAGTTGCCGCAATACACCAGCCCCAAATGGTACGGCGCCATTTAGATTCCCATCCCATGCCAGACCCCAAAGGGCGACCCTTTGAGAAGCTACCAAGTCCCATGTGAAAGCAGCCAGAGGGGAAGCACTGTCCCCACTGACCGTCCGCTGGCTGCCCGGGGTGTCAGCTTCCCCTCCTGCAGAGAAGCCAGGCACCAGGAAAGCCAGGCTCGCTCACTGCTCCCTCCCAGCCCCCTCATTAAAGCTGCGGGAAAAGGGAAGCGCAGACATCTCTTAAAAGGAACACACAAAGGCATGGGTGGCGTGTGGGTTTTTGAAGTCACCCAACAGAGGCTGGAGCCCCGGCTGTGAGCCGTGTTTCTGCTGGCGCGGACACGTCTGCGGGTGTGCACACACGTGGGTGAGCACTTGCTGAATGCTCCCTGCCGTCCTCAGGCCTGGCTCCACCCCCAGAGGCTCTGCCCACCAGCCTGGGCCTGCGGACCCACGTGCAAGCACACTGCACCCCCACCCATCCCTGCGGAGTCCTGGGCGCAGTACCCCCAACAGTTAGGTCTGCGGATAATCAACAGCAGCTGCAAAAGCAGCTCCAGGAGCTGAGCACTTGCTGTGTGCCAGGCGGCATTCTGAGTGCTGGGGATAGAGAAGAGGACAAAATCCCTGCCTTCATTTCCATTCGCTTGTCACAAGCGCACGGAGGCAGGCTCTTGTTTTATCCCCAGCTTACAGATGAGGGCGCTGAGGCCCGGAGAGCGAAAGGTACACAAACAGAAAGTGGGAGAGCCAGGGCTTGAACCCAGCCCTCTAGCTCAACTGCCTAAGCCAGGGGAGGCTCCCACAGCACGGCAGACCCCCTGAACCACACCCAGGATAACAGCCCTTTCGCTCACCAGCTTGGTGGTGTCCATGGCGGCGAGCACTGCCCGGTTCAGGGACTCCAGCGCGGCCAGCACCGGCTGGTAGACACCCAGGTGCTCCGAGAAGTAGTCTGCGGGCAGAGGGGGTGCTCGAAGGTTCCTGCCCTGCCCCCATCTACCCCACGGGGCATTCCTCAATAGCCAACCAGCCACCGATGCCGAACCCAGCCCACCCTCCTCTCCCAGGAGGCCAGTCCCTGCCCCTCGTCACACCCATCTGTCCAGAGGTCCCGGGAGACAGGAGCCCAGTGGGCTTACTCACCACACAGTTTCTCGGTTTCCAAATTGCTGTAGAGAAAAGAGAAGGTGCCCTTCAGACCCTCCCAGCTGAGCCTGGTGAACTGGGACTTCGAAGCGCAGCCAGCACAGGTCTGCTTCTCCCCCTCCCCACCCTGCTGAGCCTGACAAGGAGGCCACTCCGGACTCCACCACAGGCTAAGCTGCTCAGTGGGCAGAGGCTGTGGGGCAGGGCGGCGGGGGGCAGGGTGGGTGGGAGGGAGCAAGGATACTACTGCCCCATCAAACCCTCTCTGAGGGCAGAAACTCACACCCACTCTTGGCCAAGAGAGACTGATGAGGACACAGGCCAGAGAGGAGTGGTCAGAGCTGGGAAGGGGAAGCCGAGGCGGGGACATACAGGATGTCTGGTGGTGAGATGCAGGGGGTGCAGACAAAGGGTCCAGCCCAGTCCTCAGAATGCATTCTTTTTTTTTTTTTTTTTTTTGCTGTTAATCCTCACTTGAAGGTATTTTTTCAATTGATTTAGAGAGAATAGAAGGGCAGGGAAGAGACAGAGAGAGAGAAACATCAATGTGAGAGAGAAACAACTATTGGCTGCCTCCCATATGTGCCCGGACAAAGCCACGGATCGAGACTGTAACCTAGGCACAGGCACTTGACCGGAATGGAGTTTGTGAGCCTTCCGTCCGCAAGCCCACGTTCTAACCACTGGGTAAAACCCGCGAGGGCGCTCACAATCCATCCTGAGGAGATGAGGGGAGGAGGTCAGTGAGAGGGAGGGACAGCTTGTGTGTGTCGCTCCCGTGTGAGGCAGCATGGGAAGGAAAGCAGGCAAACGCGTGCTGAGGCGTGCGGATGGGGAGCACACGTGAGGTGGTGTGTGCGTGCTCATGTCCCTGCATCCGGGGGCGGGAGCAGGCAGGCCCCCGCTGTCCCCAGGCATCCCCAGGAAGCAGGAGTGGGGAGGGGGCCCCCGTGGGCTGAGCCACCGCGGTGACTCAGGTCTGGCTATTTTAAGGTCCTAGTTGGAGTGTGGCGGGCAAGGCTGAAGCTGGGGAGGCAGCGAGTGGGTGGGTGAAACTTGGCGCTGAGCCCGGATGCCCCTCCCTCCATCCCCTCGTCTTCTGTCCTGTGTCCGCCATGAGGCACCATCCACCACGGCTGGGCCGTCTCCCCTGTACTCACTCAGCGGAGCGCCCGTCGATGCCGCCAAACAGCTCCCGAAGCTCCCGGGCGCTGAGAACCCCATCCGCAAAGTAATTCTGGAATTCCTCAAAGGAGAGCTTACCATCGTCTGGTGGGTGACAGGGGACAGCGTCCATACCCCTGACCCCTGGCTGCACCCCTGCCGCCAGGCCCAGGCCCCCAAAGGCCTCACAGCCTATCACACCCACCCGGCCAGGCGGGGTGTGAGCTTGGCGGGGGCCTGGCTGTTGGGGACAAGAGCAGGAACCCCTAGAGAGGCCCACTTAAGGCACAGGGCCCACGGTGCATGCGCCCAAGTGGGGCATTGCACATGTGGCCGTGGGTGGGGACTCCATAAACGTTTGCTAAAGGAAGACACAAATGAACAGCCCGGGACACAGCCTGATCATGGCAGGGCCTCGATGTCACGTGGAGGACGTGGGGGGCTCAGAGTCGCCTCACGTGCTGGCAGCCTGGTGCCAGGATGAGGACAGCCTTTGTACAGAGGAACCACGGGGAGGCTGATGGGCCTTCCCAAGGGCTGGGGCCCTGTAAGCAGCAGCCCGGCTTCAGAGCGAATAAGCTTCCTGTCCCCTGTGCATGCAGCAAAGGCTGAGCGCACTGAGTGCGGTGGCCACAGACGCTGGGGAGCTGGCCCGTCAGGTCTCTACGCAGGGGGATCGGACAGAATGCTCTGATCCAAATGAGACTATGGGTCCTGATCCATGGATTGGGACAAATGGTCTCTACAATTTGAAGAGACCTAAAGAGAAGGGCCAGAGGGTAGGGACACGATCCTATTTCAAGGAGGCTGAAACACAAGAGGGTCCGAAGAGCCACATGGAAGTGAGGTCAGATCCTTGCCCGGCCAGGCAGGGTACGGTGGGCTGTGCTGGGTCACCCCTGGGCGATCCCCTGCCTGCAGGGTCCCCTGCTTCACTTCCAAGGTTTTCCTAGACCTGGGTCTGCGACTGATTCCCGGGAGCCAGCTCTGTCATGCCCAGGCCCTCCTGACCCAGACAGTTGGTCATATGGAGAGCGACTGAACCCGCTGAAAATCTAACAGTCCCCACAGGGCCTCATCCCCATTAGCCCACACTTCCCAGCCTCTCACACAGGGAGCCTGGGGCCAAGCATCATGCAGACCTGGGTTAAAGGATGCGTGACCTCAGGCAGCCTGCTTTACCTCTCTGGGCCCCTGTTCCTCTGTCTGTGAAATGGGGTAAAAATCACAGTCGTTTACAGAAAGGCACAGGCACCTATCTCAGTGCCAGGGTGCTGCGTGAAAGCAAGCTCTCCTTTCAGCCTCCGGCTAAACCACGTTCCCTCCACTCTCCAGCCTGCCAAACGTGGCTCAAAACGGCACTTCCTCCAGGAAGGATGCCTTGATTGATTCTCTAGCTTTGGGTCAAATTTTTCTCCATTCTAGACTGTGCACCCAAATCCCCAAGCCTCCAGAATGCCCCCCACTGTTCCTCCCCCCGTGGGGCCCGGGAAAGCCACACTCACCATTCTTGTCTGCTCTGCGGAAAACCTAGAGGACAAAGAGGCATGGATGGAGCTGTGAGAGGAGGCTGGGAGGTCAGAGGCCCCTGCCCTCGCTGACAGGGCCCCAGCGGGCCAGTCTGCCCCCTTGCCCAGCCTGGCCCAGCCGCCTGCCCTGCTCAGTCCTCCGGGAGCTTTCCAATGAGGGGGCAGAGGAAGAGCACACAGCAGGTACCCCTGCTGCTCACTTTTCCCCGCGGGGCTTGGCTTCATGGGGGGTGCTCCAGGCCAGCTCCTCGCACCCCCGCCTCCCACAGAGAATATCCTGATTTCTGTCTGATGCATCAGCCCTTGGCAGGGTCCCAGCTTGCGGAAGATGGGGAAATGGGCCAAGATGCGGCCTCAGAATCCTGGACAACTGCCCCAGACTGAACCCCCAAATCCGCTGTGGGCACGGTCCGTCCCAGATCCTGCCCACTCTCGGCTGTTTGTTTGTGTGCTTGTCCTCCCATTGCTGGTGTCTCTGCTTGAGCCCAGGACCTGGCAGAGCAGACTGGGGTTAACCCTTCCAGGACTGGGGCTTCCTGCGAGGCCGACTCATTGTGTGTGTGTGTGTGTGTATGTGTGTGTGTGTGTGTGTGTGTAGCAGAGATGCAGGGCAACAGAGAACAGAGGCAGGTAAACAGAAAGGCACAGAGTCAAGACATGGTGCTGCCTCTCCCAGGGACCAGAGACTCCAGATCACCTAAAGCAGCCCAGCAAAGGGGACCAGCAGCCCGGCAAGGAGAGGCAGGCCAAAGCCTGGCCAGAGAGCCCCTAGCAGCTCGAAGTTCTCAGTGTCACCCCCTCTGGCCGTTTTCTCAGTTATAGGTGAGTCTCGGGAATAAATCTAACTACACGTCGGAAGTCTCAGAGCTCTGCATGGCTTGAGGTCGCAGCAGCCCAGCTTAGCCTGGCTGGGGCAGAAGGAGATACTGGGGGAGGGGGTATAAGAGAGCCAAGCTGGGAATGAGGGCACCTGGGGCCACACCCTAGCATGCCCGTCTCCATGGGTGATCTTAGACACCCCCTAAGCCCTCAGGCCTTATTTTTTCCATCAAGGAAATGGGAGGCTCAGTCCCTTCCAGCCAAGAGGACTGTGGTCAAGGTGCTGAGTCACTGGGGGCCGTGGGGAAGGGACAGGAGCACAGCCTTTCCCACCAGCAAGGGCCCCTGGGGGTGGGAGCATGAGGAGGACCAGGTGGGACTGAGCACGGGGTGAAAGGTGGGGAAGGGGCTCAGGGCAGTGACGACGGCTAGGCTACTTCACGCTGCTGCCCATGGGCCTGCAGACCACCTGCCACCCACAGAGGTGCACAGACCCCAGAGGATGACTTTGGGCAACACTGACCAACAGTGGGAGCCCACGGCCCTGGGTCAGGTCTCAGGAACTAGGGGGTCAGCACTGGGTCTTATTCCTCCAAGCCCCCTCGCTGGACCAGCCCATCCAGGGGCCGCCAGAGAGGGCAGTGCAACTGCTCCGGGGACCAAGTGTTGGGAGTCTCTCCCCCACCAGACACAGAGATGGGGTGGGTGCGGGAAGAAGGGGGGAGGGCAGTGTCACTGAGCCAGAGACAAGGAGGTGAGAAAGAATGAGACAAGAGTACAGGCAACAAAGGCAATGAGATGAAGAAGGGAGACTTGGAGGCAGGGACAGCAGGATCAGAGAAAGAGAATGAGACAGAAACCCAGAGGCAGGCAGGGCCCTAAACCAACCTGGAGGGGAGACCCGGACAGAGGCAGGAGGGAGGGAGGGAGGGAGGGAGGGAGGGAGGGAGAGAGAGAGAGAGAGAGAGAGAGAGAGAGAGAGAGAGAGAGAGAGAGAGAGAGAGAGACCAGACAGACCTGGGGAGACAGACCTGAGGAGACACTGCCAACCCGCAGGGCCAGCAGAGCCGACGCCCCCGCCCCTCCCCACTCACGTCCTGGAAGAGCGCGTGTCCCGCGGGGCCGGGGGCCGGCGAGGGCGCCCGCGGGGGCCGGGGCGCGGGCTGCCGGACCAGGCACACGGTGAGCAGCCCCGCGCACGCCATGGCGCCGCCGGCTCTGGCTGGGCTGCGGCTGCGGCTCGGAACGCCACGGCCACGGCCACGGCCTCGGCCGGGATCGGAGATTGGAGATCGGAGCCTGGGAGGGGGCGCCCGCCTATGGGCGGCGGCACACGCCGAGGGCGCCGCCCCGCAGCCCCGCCCACGGCCCGGCGGCCGCCCGCCCGGAGCCTGAGAGCCCCGCCAGGGCGGTGCCCAGGCTGGAAAAGGGGAGCAAACTTCCTCCTGCGAGTTAGAAGCAAGCGCACAACGGAGATGCCGGGCACCGTTCACCTTGGCTTCCTGGACAGTGGCCTCCGCAAAGGACCTGGCCGGAGGGCTTTCCGCCGTCCGCCGGGAGCACCACGCGGCCAGGAGCAGGACTGAGGGCTGCACACGCCCAGCGGCAGGTCCCACAGCCCATGGGGCCGGCAAACCAGCCAATGCCGTGACACGCAATGGGTAATTCACCTGAATTATAAAACCCTACATGAATTCACTGAGCATCTGTATCCCCTTCGCAAAATCGGGGCAATACCCTGTTTCCCCCAAAATAAGACAGTGTCTTATATTATTATTTTTCTCCCAAAGTAAGGTCTTATTTCCAGGGGATGTCTTATCTTTCCATGCACTAGGTCTTATTTTCGGAGGATGTCTTATTTTCTGGGAAACACGGTAGTAGACACTCCATAGAATTGTGAGGATGCAGCCTATAAAGGGCTTAAAATAGGGACTAGCTCAAAGCCCACCTAAGGTTCGTAAAATAGGTCTGTGTGGACACCTTCAACTCCATCCTCCCCTCTGCCATCCTAACCCCCCCTTCCACAATTATATCTAAAATATAAAATAAGGCCGAAACCGGTTTGGCTCAGTGGATAGAGCGTCGGCTTGGAGACTGAAGGGTCCCGAGTTTGATTCGGGTCAAGGGCATGTACCTTGGTTGCGGACATATCCCCAGTAGGGGATGTGCAAGAGGCAGCTGATCAATGACACTCTCTCATCGATGTTTCTCTCTTTTCCCCTCTGTACAAAATCAATAAAATAAATAAAAATATAAAATAAGACATCACTCCTCAGGCTCATTGGGGAGTCTTATCCCCTGAATAAAGCCCAACTGAATTTCTCTCCACCGGGGTCCTTACCCAACTCCAGCCAAACCTGATCCTGTGCCTGCTCCCTCCTGCTGCAGGGCCCTCGCCCACACTGCCCTCTGCCTGCTGTGCGCATGTCCTCCTCTTCCGTTAACTACAAGTACTCTCTCAGGAAGCCCTCCCTGACTTTGAGTCCCCTCCAACCGATTATGAGCCTCATGAAAGGAGGGAGCGTGTGTCCCCAGAACCTAAAAGATCCTGACACGAAACTGGCCGGTTGTGATTATTTGTTGCATGTTTACAAATGCCCAGAAACATCTGGAAGGAACAGAGCAGAGCAGCTTCTCTGGGGCTGCGGAGAGAGGCGAGTTCCCATTATTGCTCCATTGGATCAGTCTTTTGAGTTCGGACAGAAATGGTGGTGATGAAGCCTACCCTTCTTGGGGCAGTGAGGCTCCAATGAAATGACACTAAGTAGGGACAGGGAGAAGGCAAGTAGAGAATGGCTGCCCTAGCTGGTTTGGCTCAGTGGATAGAGTATTGGCCTGTGAACTGAAGGGTCCTGGGTTCGATTCCGGTCAAGGACACATGCCAAGGTTGTGGGCTCGATTCCCAGTAGAGGGTGTGCAGGAGGCATCCGATCAATAATTCTCTCTCATCAGTGATGTTTCATCTCTCCCTCTCCCTTCCTCTCTGAAATCAATAATATATTTTAGAAAGAGAGAATGGGCATTTTCCCAGCAATCTTGACCTTTCCCACCCTCAGATTTGCTCCCAGTACACAATCCCAGAAACTGGCCCAAACACCATCGAAACATTTATTAAAACCAAAGCAGAAGGGAACAGAGCTGTTAGGAAGGCAAATCAAAGTGCACATTGGAGGATGGAGCAGAGCGGGAAGTGAGTGGAGGGGGCTCTCCAAATGCCACAGGAGGGGCCCCGTAGGCTGGGCTAGGGGAGAAGGCCCTTTACCCACCCCTCCTGCCCACCCTGCCTGTGAAGGTCCCCCACTTACCTCTCCCATCTCCCATCCGTCCTGGGGGGCAGCCGGAGCCCCGCAGTAACCCCTGGAGAGGGACCACCCCCTTGATCCACCCATGGCTGTCAGTCAGTTTCCCTCCTTCACTCCCTCTCCCAATAAATAAAACCGCTTAGGCCTCAACTCCTTCAGAGTGGGGCAAAGAACAGCTCAGGGACCCCTGCCCTCACTCAGGGGTATAAGGAGTTGGGACATAAGCCCCACATCCTTCCTACCCTTTGCTGGTGCCCCAGGCTTGCCAAAGAGACCTTGATAAATAAATAACGCTCCGTTAAAGCTTCAATCAGAAAAACCTTTAAGACGACAGAAGTGCTCTTGCTGTCCTGCAAACAGACAGGCCAAGGCACTGTCAGCGCGCAGGATTCGGGGGCAGGTGGCCACCCTGGGCCTTGTGGGGCCCCTGGAGCAAGGAGACCAAAAGTGCAGTTAGAGCCCCCACCACACACACACACACACACACACACACACACACACACGGACTCATGCACACACGTGGACACACCGGAACGTGTTTTCAATGCACGCACAGATGTGTTCACCTTCATTCCCCGGTACATGCACACACACATGCCCACACACCACTCACCCCGTGTACACACGCCGGGTATTGGGTGCATGCACACATACACCACAAACAGAATCCTTCCCTTCCTGGCTTGCTCAGCCTCTTGGCAGTAGCCAGACCCCAGAGCTATACGCTCCTGGAGATAGAGGAAAGAGGTATAAATTAAACATTTCCAATCAGGCTGGGGGCAGGGGCGGGAGCAGGGGGCTCCAGGACTGCAGAGGCAGGGTGGGCACCGCAGGAGGCCCTGGTCCCCAGAAGCCCTGTCAGAAATCCAGGGGGGCGAGGTCCCCAAAGTCACAGTCGAAGAGGTCTCGGATGCCCTCGCCCTCCTCCAGGCCGAAGTGGTAGTCGAGGGCCTCGTGCGGAGGGGACAGGCTGACGAACTCCTCGGGGAGGAGGCTGGAGAAGTCCTCCCGCAAGTGCTCCAGGAGCGAGTCGGCTGCCACCAGGGGGGACAGGTGGTCTTCGTCCAAGGCGGCCCGCAGGCCCCCCGTCCGGGAAAGCAGAGGTTCTGGGGAGATGGGGGAGCATCACAGGCTGGAGATGCCCCAGCAGGGAGGGCAGAGGGGGCTGTTAGGCCTGCCCACCACCACCCCTTCACCCACCCACCCACCCACCCACCCTTCACCCACCTTGTTCCAGGCTGAGCAGGGGCTGGCTGGGATCCACGTCAGGGGTGGAGGGGAGAGATGATGATGATGATGGTGGTGGCACTGTAGTGGTAGAATCAGCTTCCCTGTCCTCCTCCCCAGAAGCTACCCCTTGGGACGGGGTCTTCCGAGGGCTGATCCCACCGGCACTCTCCTCAGGGCACAGGAAAACATCGATGGGGCCTTGTTTGCTCTTAAGGGAGATCTGGAAGGTCTGTGAGGAGGTGGCAGACAGGGTAAACTGAGGCTCAGCTGACAACTCTCCTGGTCAGACCCGAGATCCCACGCCTCACCTCTGAGGAGTCCACGGCTTGAAGCTGGGTCTCAGGAGGAGCCTTGATCACCATGACCATCTCCTCAGCGGGGTCTGCAATGCTACGAAGATCTTGGCAAGTCACGTAGGCCAGGGTTGGGGGAGTCAAGAACCACATAACCTTTGACCTCTGCGGGCCACCCACTCGGGCATCTAAGGTAGCACCCACACTTGCTTAGTCACCTGACACCCAGTTTGTGTTCAAGCCTTTCTCATGGCTGAGCCTCAGTTTCCATGTTTCTGACGAGCCCATTCTGGCGTTAAGAATTTATTCTGACTCATGAGCATGTTGTCAATTAGTGGTTGTCTCCAAAATTTTTAAATATAATTTGGGTATTCACTTAAAAAAAAAAAAAAAAAAAAGCTTATTTCAAAATAAAGTCTCTATTTTTATGAATGATAAAAATTGGTATCTCTGCTGAAACCGGTTTGGCTCAGTGGATAGTGTGTCAGCCTGCGGACTGAAGGGTCCCAGGTTCGATTCCGGTCAAGGGCAAGTACGTTGATTGCGGGCACGTCCCTGGTGGGGGACATGCCAAGAGGCAGCTGATCGATGTTTCTCTTTGATGTTTCTGACTCTCTCTCTCCCTTCATTTCTGTAAAAAATCAATAAAATATATATATTTTTTAAAAAATTGGTATCTCTAATCCTGAAGCTACAACCATGAATTGAATCACTGTACTAAGTGTCTGTTGTTGTTTTAATTTAGCAGTTCTGGAACTGGACTTGTTCCCCCTTTTGGAGATGAAGCTGATACTCAGAGAGATTAACTAACTTGTTCAGGGAGTCAATGCTGAGCCAGGACTTGCATGTAAAGCCAGAGCTCGCTCTCTCCTGAATCCAGGGCCCGGGCTAGCCTCTCCCGCCTCACTTGGGTGGGGCCCAGCCCGCCAGGCCTGCCCTCCACAGTCAAGGATATCGTTGGCTCTCGGCATCCTCAGACAGCAGCCGAAGCTGAGTGGCGCAGACTTGGATCAGGTGGTCTAGCTGCCGCTCATTCTCCTGCAGTTGCTGTAGGTCCTTGGTCAGTCCTTCAAGCCGCCCACCAATCCCTACTGTGGCGTGATTGCCTCTGTGAAGAGAGAGGCACAGGGAGGGTTAACGGCTCCTCGCCCTCTGCCCAGGAGCCCGACCCCTGCACCCAGCCTGCTGCTGCCTCTGTGCTTTGCGACCCCCGGGAGCCCCGCTCCTCGCTCAATCTGGCTCCTCAGTTGGCAAACAGCGGAGGGCTGGCACCAGGCTCCAAGTCAGACCTGACCATCTCTAACACCCACCTGACCCTCAGAGGGAGCCGGACAAGTAAAGGATGGCACAGACATGCCGTGAAATACTACATAGCTGTATAAAAGAATGACAACGCTTTAGATGTATAGACATAGAAGTATTTCTAAAGCATTGTCAAGTAAAAAGAAAAAAGATGCAGAATAGAATGATGTCTCAAAAACTGAAAAGGCACTGACCCAGAGATTCCACTTCTGGGTATGTATCCAAAGAAATCCAAAACACTAATTTGAAAGGATATACACATCCTTACATTCAGTGCAGCGTTATTTACAATAGCCAAGATACGGAAGCAGCCCAATGTTGGCCATCTATGGACAAATGGATAAAAAAAGCTGTTGTACATAAACACAATGGAATATTACTCAGCCATAAAAAAGAATGAAATCTTACCATTTGCAACAGCATGAGTAGACCTAGAAGGTATTATCCTAAGTGAAATAAGTTAGAGAGAAAGACAAGCACCACATGATTTCGTGTAAACTACGTGAAAGCTAAAGAACAATATAAACAAACAAAACAAACAGACTCATAGATACAGAGAACAAACTGATGGTTGCCAGGATGGGAAACTGAGTGAAAAAGCTGAGGGGATCGAGAAATACAAATTGGTAGCTGTAACACAGTCATGGGGCTGTAAAGTGCAGCAATAGTCAATAATATTATAATAACTATGTATGGTGCCAGGCAGGTACTGGAAATATCGAGGGAAACACTAAAAAGTATGATTGTGTAACCACTGTGCGATGTGCCTGAAACCAATACAAAATAATACTGAATTCCAACTGTAATTGGAGAGAAACAAACTGAAAAGGCAGATTTGTCAAGGAGACGGAAGGTAGGATGACCGGGGAAAGATGGGAGAAGGAAAAAATAAAATAATAATTAACAAGAATAAAACATGCCGAAACCGGTTTGGCTCAGTGGTAGAGCATCGGTCTGCGGACTGAAAGGTCCCGGGTTCGATTCCCCGGGTCAGGGGCATGTAGGTTGGTTGCAGGCACATCCCCGGTGAGGGGTGTGCAAGAGGCAACTGGTCGGTGTTTCTCTCTCATCGACGTTTCTAGCTCTCTATCTCTTTCCCTTCCTCTCTGTAAAAAAATCAATAAAATTTTTTTTTTTTTAAAAAGAGAGAGAATAAAATAGCTAAAATAAATGAATGAATGAAACAGCTATGTTAGACAATCTCATTTCTGGCAACAGAAACCAGAATAGTGGTCACTGGTAGTATGAGGGGTGGGCAATGACCAGGGAGGGTATAAGGAAACTTTCTGGGTACTGGAAACGCTTTCTCCTGATCTGTTACCCAGTTGAAGTCTGCCAAGCTGCACTAAGCTGGATATGCAAGGTTTGTGTACTTTCCTGCATCTGCCACCCGAGGAAAGACACTTTTCCTCTCTCAGCCTGTGTCCCCAGTTAAGATGGAGATGCAGCTGCCACAGTGGGTCTCGATGTCGGCTCCTCTAAGCTGATCTGACCTGGACCTCTGCCTGCCCTCCTGTTTGCCGGGTACCTACAGCCACTGGATGTGGTTCTTGGACTTCTTGGCGATGAGCTGAATGCCCTCCAGGACATTGGTGATGTCGTAGATGCGCCGTTTCTGCACCTTCAGCACCTCCGCTGCCCAGTTCAGGTCGACGACGCCATCAGCTGAGCGGCTCAGCAGCTCCAGGAAGCGCTTGGTGGTCAGATTCAGGGATGTCTCATAGCGCGACTTCTCCCCTGGGGATTTCACACCTGGGGCAGGGCACAGGCAAGACAGGGCCCTCAGCACCATCCACACATCCAGCTGGGCCAGCCTCCCCGGCAATGTAGGGCAGGAGGATGGGGGTGGGGGACTGACAGATGGCTCCTTCCCTTGGTGAGGCCAAGCAGGGAGGCCCCGTGGCTGCTGCCTGCCAACCACAGCATTCCTCTTCAGGCTGGGGAACTCCCCACCCCCAGGGCCTGGGGAAACCGTGCCAGACAAACACTCCAGCTGCCCTTTGGGGCCCCCAGAGGCCTGGCTCAGGCCCAGGCCTGAGAGACCAGAACTTGGTTTGCAAGCATGTTTGTCTATCCACACACACCCCCAACCTGGGCCCAGTCAGGGAGCCTGCACCAGCCTGAGCTCAGTGGGTACCTTTTCCTGGGTGGCGGCCTCTGCCCCGGGCTACGCTGCTCTCAGCCAGGTATTGATGGTCAGTTTCCAGGTCCAGCCTCCGCTTTACCTACGGCAAAAAACAATGGGAGAATACTCAGTACCCGGGAGAGTGAGGCCATGAGAGACCCCATCTCAATTTCTCTACTAGGAAGCCTTTGAGTGTTAGGGGAGACCCTAGGGCACCCAATCCTACCACACAGGATGGACCACTCACTGGAAGGCAGAAGATCCAAGTTCAAGTCCCAGCTCTCCCACTACCTACCTGGGGCCTGTGGTGGTTTTAAAATACGTTCTATAAATTTTTTAATACCTCTCCTTTCAAAAGATGAAAACTAATTCCCCCCTAAAATAGAAGCCAGATCTTTACAATGAACTGCGTGTGGCAGCAGTGACACACAGCCACTTCGGAGCTGGATCAGAGACCCAGGAGAGCTTCCTCCTTGCTCTTTGGGATCACTCACTCTAGAGGGAGCCGGCTGCCGTGGCATGCAGGTCCTCACGTAGCTCAGAGGACAGTCCCAAGTGGCAAGGAACTGAGGCCTCTTCCCAACAGCAACAGGACTGAGCTTAGAAACAGCCTCCAACCCTAGCCCTGCCTTCAGACAACTGTGGCCCAGGCCAACATGTTAGCTGCAAGCTCAAAAGCCACCCTGAGCCAGAAGCACCCAGCTCAGTCTCCTCTGAATTCCTGACCCACAGAAACTGTGTGATGTTTATTTTAAGCCAGTCGAAAACGGAACCCCTCGGCAAGAATAAGGAACCCCTCGGGCAAGTCACCACCTCTCGGGTTTTATCTATGAACAGTAGCTGGTGCCCATGTGCTTTGCATATAATAAGTAGTTCATTCCATCTTATGGACTAGCAGCGCAATAATGGCCTCATTTTACCAATAAAGCAACCAAACCCAGAGAGACCTAAGGGAAGTCAGGAAGTGGCAGAGCCAGGATTCCCTGATTTAGCGACACACACGCAAGGATGGAGATTGCCCAGGAAGTCTCAGAGGCATCTCAAACACATCCAAAACCAGATGTGCCTCCCCTCACCCTCCTGCCAACCACAGCACTTCCTGGCAAGGCAGGGCTGGAGGATGGGGGAGGGGTTCCCCAAGCTAGAACCTCATTTGGCCCCGCCATGCACCGCATGGCCTCTGTTTGCCAAGAAACCCCATCCCCGGGGCACTACCACCTCCCATCTGGACCTTTCAGCCATCTCCCCACTGGTCTCCTGCCTCCACCTGCCCCCTCCACCTTAGTATCCTCATGGGTTATGGCTTCTTCACATGCACCTCTGCTGAGACATGCTTCTTCGCAAACCTGTGCTTCCAAACCTTAGTCCATACAGGTTATTCCCTCCTTCCTGCCCTTCACACCTGCTCCTGAGGGCAGCAGGCACCGTACCCCTTACGGAAGCCCGCAGGATCCTGCACCTCTCCTCCCTCTACACTGCCTGGAACCCAACCTTTTCCCACAGTGTCTCTTGATACAAACTTCTACAGATGTGTCTGCCTCGCCAAGAAGCCAGGGAGTCCTTCAGAGGCAGGCCCTGGGTCTAAATAATCTCTGTACCCGGTGTCTAAGGGGCCCTGGCATCAACAAGCGTCTACTGAATGAGCCTCCCCACGTGCTGAGGGACCGGACACCCCCTCTGTCAGGGATTCCTTCCGGTGTCCCAGGGACACCGTGCTGGGTGCTTCCTGTGCACACCACTGAGGAGCCGCTCCCCCTGCATTCACTCAGCAACCCTCCAGCCAGACCCTGCAGCAGCCCTATCATGGCCTCCACTTCACTGGAGCCGCCCAGTCCCTCAGAGAGGTCACACAGACAGTGAGAGGTGGAGGCAGGATTTCAACCTTAATGAGCTGGCAGAGCCCACCACAGGACATATTCACCACAGGACACCGAGACCGGTTTGGCTCAGTGGATAGAGCGTTGTCGGCCTGCGGACTGCAAGGTCCCAGGTTCGATTCCGGTCAAGGGCATGTACCTTGGTTGTGGACACATCCCTGTAGGGTGTGTGCAGGAGGCAGCTGGTCAATGTTTCTCTCTCATCGATGTTTCTAGCTCTCTATCCCACTTTCTTTCCTCTCTGTAAAAAAAAATCAATGAGAAATATATATATATTTAAAAAAATTTCACAGGTCCTGCCTTCCTAGAACCCAGTCCAGAAACCAGAGCCAGGCCCCCTCAAAGCCAACCAGAATGCTCCCCCTTACTAGTCTCTCCCCTACTGCCTGAACCCTTAGCAGAAGGACATGCTTCTGCTGCCTTCTCCCTGAAGGCAGGTCAATATCACACTCTAAAACAAGGGCTCACGCAGATGGACACCCATTGCTGCCAACATTCTCGAGATCCTGGCAGAGGGGTCCCGGAAGGCACAGAACACTGGTGACAAAACCTAACGATTCAAAAACCCACCCATGGGAGGGGCTACAGAACCTGTGGTTCGTCCAGACCCTGGACTATCACACAGCCATCAAAGACTGAGGCAGGTCAACACAGAATCCTCTCAAAGACACTGACGAGAAAAACACTAGGGCAAAGAAGGTATATAATCATTTTTTGAATTAAAAAAAAAAAAAAAGCTCATGAAACCATTATTCTCTGGTTCAGTTTCTATTATTACAGAATGCATTTCAGGGGCAACCCATGCATGGGAGAGAGGACCATGGGGGAATGTTATCTGCAAAGTGTGGGTGGTGCACTGTTTGAACATGGAAATAAAGGAAAAACTACAGTTTTCAAAATTTTAGAAAAAAAACTGTCATAACAACCTAAAAATAAAAATAGGCTTAGGAACAGGAAAAATGGAGCCGTGATCCTGCCTTATTCAACTTTTTAGTCTCTTAACTCTTTTTTTCTATGGCAAATGTGTATTATATTTAGTTTTTTAAAAACCTTCTTATTGATATTTTACAGGGAGATACATCGATGAGAACAAAACATTGATCAGCTGCCTCCTGCATTACCCCCCTCCCCCCGCACTGGGGATCCAGTCCATAACCCGAACATGTGCCCTAACTGGGAATTCAACTGGCAACCTTTGGGTGCACAGGATGACGCCCCACCAACTGAACCACACCGGCCAATCTAGTTTTGTTTTCTTTTTTTTCCCCTTAGTTTGTTTTTTGAAAGCCATGACAACATAGTAGCGGTAGACAGGAAGGGCCAGGAGAGACAGCTGAGCTGCAGAGCCTTGTATGCAGGAAGTGCTCTGCAAATGCTCACTGGTGCAGACACTGGGCCTGCAGTTTGTTTCAAGAGCTTCTCCCCCCGCCCCCCCAAAAAAAGCACCAATGCAGTGAGCCAATGGAGGCCACAACTCATGAACTGGGGGGTTACTGGAGGGCAAAAGCTTCAGCTCCAGGATGGCGCCAGCCCCACTCCTTCCCACCAACCCTTCGTGCTGGGGGCAGAGGCCCCATACTTGCCTCCTGGGTGCTCACTAATAACTGCTGAATGAGTGGAATGCTCAGGCTCACTGAGGCTGCCTCCACACCCCTGGAGGTGAAGCAGAGGGCATGTCCCCGCAGTCACTCTGAGCCTGGAATTCAGCTCCCTGAGGGCAGGACCCACAGCTCCGGGCCTGCTGAGTACTTGTCAAGTCAGCTAAATGGAAGTTATTTTCCAGGCCCCAAGATGGTACCAGCAGAAACAGGCCACTGGTAACCCCACCTCCACCCCCAAACCATCCCTCATTAGGATGAAGGGCCCCTGGGCTTCCTTCAACTACTACCCTGTTTCCCCGAAAATAAGACAGTGTCTTATATTAATTTTTTCTCCCAAAGTTGCGCTCGGCCTTATTTTCAGGGGATGCCTTATCTTTCCATGCGCTAGGTCTTATTTTCGGAGGATGTCTTATTTTCAGGGAAACACGGTAGTAACATCTCTAGGAGGCAAGGTATCCCAATGGTTAGGTTAACCGATCAGGAAATTTGGACTGGTCCCACCAACGACCAGCTGAATAGCTAGGGAAGATTATAAGCCTCTCAGCCTCAGTTTCCCCATCTGTAAAAGGGGACCATGGCTGAGAGGGTTAAATGAGTTAACTGGGTAGAATGCTTTGGCACAGAGCCTGACAAACAAAACAGTCTCGGAACAATGGTGCTCCTATTATTATTATTAGCATCTTGGTGATTCCGGAAGGAAGGCAGCACTGGGCACGGGGCCAAAGGGGTTAGAGGATGCCTCAGGGACCAGCTGCCACCTAGGCTTCCACCCACCCGTTGAGCAGCTTCCACCTCCTTGTCCTGGGCCCTGCCTCGCCCTCCCACTTGCTCCAAGCCCCCTGCTGAGACCCTATCCAGCCTGGCCTGTTGCCCCTGCCTGCCAGCCTGCACCCCACCTCCACCCACAAGCTTCGCCAGTCAAACTGGTCTCCACGCCCTGTCCTGCAGCCCACGGGTCCAAGCTCCAGGCCTCCACTCCCTTCTTCCCATGTAATTCAGCCAGCTCTCCTTGGCCCCCCAATCTGAACTGATCTTGAACCTCTTGTTGCTCAGGGAGCACTTTATCAAGACATCTCCCCGGGATGTTTACTCTCCCCGCGCTGGGGGCCTCCTCTCCTGCTCCCAGAGGCCCAGCCCACCCAGTACTTTCAAGGGGTCTGCCTGCCTGATTAATGAGGTTCCATGGCAACCAGAGCCCGGGAGGGTAGAGGGTGGCAGATGGAAGGACAGGCAGAGGGAGGGGAATCAGCAGCTGGCCCAGCCACCCCGCCCTGCAGAGAAGGCCTCCCAGCCAGGCCTGTCCCCAGAGTCCCAGGCCTGCAGCTGGCAGTAGAGCATCAGGGCAGGAAGGAGGGCTTTCTCAACGGCTCTCCGACAGTCTGGCCCCAGGATGCACCCCCTTCACCTCCTCAAGTAGCCATGCCCACTACCAAGACACAAGTTCTGATCTGAAGCCAGCAGGCCCGAGTTCAGATCCTGGTCTCACCCCTTGCAGCCGTGTGACCCGGGGCAAGTCACTTTCCCTCTCTGGGCCTCTGTCTAGATGGGCACAGTGACAACACCAGCTCACAGCCTGAGCTTTGAGCTTTAGCAGGCTTGAAGTCGGCCAGAGGCCTGGCATGCAGGCAGTGCCAGCTGCATACACGTGAGCCATTATTATTACTGAGTCTGACCGGCTCTGAGGAGGAAGCTAAGGCCCACAGAACGAACGAGAGAGCAAATAGGAACTGGCCCGAGGTCACCTCGAACCCTAGGGCGGGGCCCGGAGGCCCAACCCAGGCTCGACACCGCCCAGTCCCGGCGCCTTAGCCCACCCCTCCCCCGACCCTCCTGCCTCCGGGCCCAAAACCGCGCCCCGCCAGGATCTGCGCTGGGGGTTGGGGGGGTCCAGGCAGCACCCTTGGCCCAGTGTCCTTGTGTCCGTACCGGCGGGCGGCCGAGCGCCGGGCGCGGCGCGCTGGGTGTGGGCCGGGGCGCCTGCGGCGTGGCGAAGAGCAGCAAGTCGGGGTCGCGGGGGCCCGCGGCGCGCACGGCGGGGCCGGCGGGAGCCTGCGGGGCGCTGGTGTCCTGCGCGGTGGAGATGATGACGATCTGCGAGGAGTCGAGCAGCCGCAGCGCGCCGGCCCCGAGCAGGGCCTCCAGCGCCGGCGCGCATGGGCCGCCCGCGGGCGCCACGGCCATGGCGCTCACGGCCCGCGCGGCCCGGGTGGCAAGCGGCGGCGGCGGCGCGGACCCATGGCGGCAGGCCGCGGCGAGAGCTCGGTCCCGCTCCGGATCCCGCTCCGCCCCCGGCCGCCGCTGCCTGCAAAGTCCCGGCCACTTTTGCGCGCCAAATCCTTTTTGCCGCGAAAGAGCCACGAGCCGCCGAGCGCTGCCGCTATTGGCTGTCCGGGCAGTGACGGAGGCGGCGGCGACGGCACCTATTGGCTGCGGCGCGCCGGGCCGGCGGCGGAGGGTGGGACGGGGCAGCGGTGCGGGGAGGGACGGCCAATCGCAGGGCGGGGCGCGCGCAGGCTTTGTCGGGGCGGCGCCAGGCGCGTTCGCAGCCCCCGCCCTCGGCTGGGGCGTCCCCTGCGCGAGGCGTGGTGGTCCGGCTTGCGCTTCGGCACTCACCGCGCTGCCGGTCCCGCGGAGACCTTTTGGACGGGACGCCCGGTGTGTAAGTCTCATCGTCAGCAGTTCCTAGTTGACCCCCAGACGCCGCCACACACACACCTGTAGCCCCAACGCGCTCTGCCACATCGCTAGAAATTTTCCCTCCTCTTCGCTGGGTCCTCAGGCCCACTTCCTATGCCCCGGTCACACCTCCCATCCTGAACTTGCCCCACGTAGGCCATTGACTTTAAAATCCTACCACCGGCCGAGCTCGTCTGGCTCAGTAGATAGCATCCACCTGTGGACTGAAGGGTCCTGGGTTCGATCCCGGCCAAGGGCACATACCCAGGTTCCGGGCTCCATCCCCAGTAGGGGGCGTGCAGGAGGCAGCTGATCAATGATTCTCTCTCCCCATTGATGTTTCTCTCCCTTCCTCTCTGAAAGCAGTAAACATTTATTTAAAAAAAAAAAAATTTAATCCTGCATTCGCCCTATCCCTCTCAAAGTAGAAGGGGGTTTGTCAGGAAAGGGGGAGGGTGTCCATCCCAATAACAGTTGGGATTTTCCTGCATGCCCCCTTTTATCTTCTACTGGGGGGTGGAGGGGGGGAGGGACCCGCCACAGGGAGTCGCCTGGCCACCCAGCCCCCTGGTTGAACTCTTGGTGGCAGGGACAATTTGCACATTAGACTTTTATTATATAGGACTAAAGGTCCAGTGCACAAATTCATGAATGGGTCGGGTCTGCCTGGCCTCACTTGGTGGATCAGGGCCAGGCCTGTCAAGAGGCCGGAGATGGCAGGAGGTTGGCCAGCCAGCCCCATCCCAGATTGGTGTGTGTGGGCGGTTCAAGGGGCAGAGCTGGCTGGGGGAGGGGCAATGGACTGATGGGGCGGTGGGGGCCTTCGGGATCAGGGCTGGGGTGGGGGGTGGGTTGGGAAGGGGCTGCAAGAGTTTGGCCAGCCAGACCCGCTCCCTATTGATGTGGGGAGGAGGGGAATCAGCAGCGCGGCTGGTAGGGGGAGGGGCTATGGGGTGATGGGGACCCAGCAGAGGCAGGGCTGGCGGGGGTGGGGGTGGGGGGCTCTAGGAGATAGGCTGGCCGGCAGCTCCCCTCCTCCCCCATCATTCACAGACCGCAATGGGCGTCATAGCAACTGGTCCTTACAGGCAGTCAGGTCGCTGACTTTTTATATATATAAATAGAAAATGCACACCTGATTGAACTCATTCATAGTCAACAAACGTTTTGAGAGCCTGCTCTGTGCCCCATTCTTAGTTCAGACCTTAACAAGCTCAGTCTAGTGAAAAAGGGAGGAGAGCGATCAAGAGGTAACAAATGTTTACAATCTGATGATCAATTTACACCATTAAACGAACTCCATGTTAGATCTCATAAAGCGAGGAGGTGAGGGTACTGAGCATGAAAATGCACTGAATCCGGAGGCCCTGGGATCTCTCCATCAGCCATTTACATTGCTCAGGTCAGCTGATTTGACCAATACTGTCCTTTCCTCTTTGCTAGGTCTGTGCCAGCACTGAGGGCAGAGATATGAAGGATTTGACCATTTCTATGAACTTGCCTGCCATCAGGAGGGGATGCTTCCCCCCCCCCCCCCCCCCCACACACACACAAATAAAATAGTTAAGACACAGATAAGAATCAAATCCCTAGGCCCAGTAGAAACATCACTTCCTCCAGAGAACCCTCCGGAGTTAGTCACTTCTCCCACTGCCTGGTGATGCCTCTGTTCTAGCATTGACCACACACTGTTTTGCCATCTGCCTCCTTCCAAATTCCTCCCAACACTGGTCTGAGCGTAGCTCAGAGTAGGCACTGAGAGGGATTATGAGAAAAACAGGCTGATGCTGGAGGCTATCTGGAATGGGACCGTAGGGCCTCGCCCCTGGCTTGAGAGTCACCTGAGGACTTGTTAACTCTGGGCCCTCCCAGCCCTGCCGATTTAGAATCTCTTAAGTGCCCAGGAATCCACAGTTGTACAAGCAACCCCCCACCTGCATTGCAGGTGGTAAAAACGATTGCATTTGAGAACAAATGCACGATTGCATTTGAGAACAAATTGATATATCTGTATCACCAAAATGTGTGCTGCAGTCTCAAATTATAGCCCCTTGAAGACACCTCAGCTTCAGTTCCTCGCCTGTGAGATGGCCACATTGCCTGGGCTCTCCCAGGGTTGCCATGAGGATGAAAAGCATAAGGGATCTAAAAGTGTTTTCTAAACTAAGAAGTGGGTTAGAAAAACAGCAGGAGTTTCCTAAGCCCTTTATGAAATTATTCATTGCAAAGCACAGACATCATAGGCTGTGTCAACGCTAGAAAAGACCATAGAGACTATATGGCCTCTTACTGTACAGATGAGGAAAGTGAGGCCCCTTAGGGCTAAGGAGCTGTGACGGCTGCCCGTGATAGAATCTGGCCCGCACAGATTCCCAGCTGTGGGGTTAGCTTGTCCCCCTCCACCTCCACTGATAGAGAAGCTGCCATTAGAATGGTAAGTCTCATTCGAAAAACAACAAGCTAGGATCTGACAGGAGGTGAGAGAATCCAGCAACAGTCCCATTCCAAATGTAGTTTCCTTTCGCATTTTCCCAAAGGGCCTCAACGATAGTAATGTTCACTTTATAAAGCCCTCTCAATCCCTATAGTCATTCAATGAACACTTATTGAGCACCTGTCACGTGCAAGCACTACACTGATTGCTGGAGAGGGAAGATACAGTTATTTTTGGCCGGTTTTATGATGAGGAAACGGAAGCCCAAAGGACATGAGCGTACCGAGCAGGTGGAAAGTATGTTATTCCGGCTTGGTAGGCCAAAGGCAGGGGTTTTCCAAAGCCCTTCCTTCTCCCAAGTATTCAAGTACACACCCTCCCACGTAGAAGCAGGCGCCCTCCTTCCCACAGTCCCTCTTCTCCTGCTCAGCAGAAAAGGAGTGACTTCCCAGTGTGAAAGCAAGGGAGAGATAAGGGCCTCCTGTATCTACTAATGCCCACTTGAAAGCAGCAAAGGCCTGATAGGTGGCACTCCTTGGCCCTAAGCCTGGCTGATCCTGATAAGGCTGTTCTCAATGTCAACAGTTCTCCTCAGGCTGGCAGGCTTCCAAAAATTCCACAATTACTGGGCAGCCACTTCCATTGATGATCTCCCTTCAACCTGATAATCCCTAAGTGAAGTTTGTGGCTGTGTTTTTTTGTTTGTTTGTTTGTTTTAAATATATTTTATTGATTTTGTACAGAGAGGAAGGGAGAGAGATAGAGAGTTAGAAACATCGATGAGAGAGAGTCATCGATCAGCTGCCTCTTGCACACCCCCTACTGGGGATGTGCCCGCAACCAAGGTACATGCCCTTGACCGGAATCGAACCCGGGACCCTTCAGTCCCCAAGCCGACGCTCTATCCATTGAGCCAAACCGGTCCCGGCTGAAGTTTGTTGTTTTTGTTTTGTTTTTTTATTCACAGGGTGCAGGAAGAAGGAGGCTCAGAGAGGGGCACTCAAAGGTCAAAGTAACACAGCAGAACTGAGATGGGAGCTTTGTGTTCCACAGCAAAACCTAGGTAGGCCCTGCCCTTCAGACCTTGCCACCTCTGTAAATAACCTAAGAGCCGGGCTCAGGGCTGTCAAGATTATAATGTGTGGTCTCCAAAAGGTATTATGGTAGATCATGGCTTAATTAATAGATACCCCTATCACCACTTCTACCAACTCCTACTCTATAGGAGTCCAAAGAGGGGAAAGCTCCTGGGCCCAAGATCCTTAGCCTAAAAACATCTTTCCCTTGATTCTCTCCAAGAGGCAGGATTGTGTAGAAATGATAGCATGAATTTCCAAAACAAGGTATGTAAACAGGAACGTTGGTCTGTGTGACCTGACAAGTCAATTCATTTCTGTAGAGCCACATTCCTTTATTCTGCATATACTTATTGAACACCTACTGTGTGTCAGACATTGTGCTCGGCGCTGGGAGACAGCTGGAAGCAAAATAGATCCACCTCTGATAGCTGGAGCTCATAGTCCAGTGAAAGTCAGAATTGTTTTTACGGACCTACACAATATGTTTGTTAAAAAGTTTGATAAATGATACAAATAAGCCAAAGGTATTTATTCCACATATGCCACCTCTAGATATACAATGACTTAATTTTTGTTTATTGATTTTTAAAGAGAAAGGTGGGGGAGGAGGAGGGAGAAACATCAATTTGCTGATTCATTTCTTCATTCACTCATTAGTTGCTTCTTGCATGTGCCCTGATGGGGATAGAACTTGCAACCTTGGCATATGGGATCAATGCTCTAACCCAGTGGTCGGCAAACTCATTAGTCAACAGAGCCAAATATCAACAGTACAATGATTGAAATTTCTTTTGAGAGCCGAAAACCGACTTCTGCGCATGAGCCAGAAAGTTTCAATCGCACTGTACCTGCGTGCCCGCACGTGGTATTTTGTGGAAGAGCCACACTCAAGGAGCCAAAGAGCTGCATGTGGCTCAAGAGCCACAGTTTGCCGACCACTGCTCTAACCAACTGAGCTGTAGTAACTTAACTTTATTAAGGACACAGAGACA